TCTGGAACATGTGGCTGCAACAATAGGTCCACCACATCCTTTCTCGGAAGCCATGGTGCCCACAGTTGAGAGCCTCTGCATAAATTGCTGACATCTGACCAGCTCTGGGCTTCCTGTGGCTGCTGGTGGCAGGCTGGTGGCTGGCCACGGCTGCCTTTGGGGTGTGGTGGCTTCGGCCATCTGCTCAGCCCTGCCCTTCCAGATGGGATCAGCTCTGCACGGCCCTGAAGACTTGGGGTCACAAAACCCTATGTGTCAGTATGCCACTTGGTCATAAACTTTTTTCTGTTCTTTGCCTTTCCATTGTGTAGATTTTAATCCTCTCGACGCACAATGTGAGAGTTGAGAGTTAAATTTTGTTTAGGGGCAAAATGAGGGCTTCCCAGGTGGCCCTAGTGATAAAGAATCTGCCTGCCAATGCAGGAGACATAAGAGATGTGAGTTTGATCCCTGGGTCATGAAGATCCCCTGGAGGAGGGCATGGTAACCCACTCCAGTATTCTTGCCTGGAGAATTCTCATGGACAGAGGAGCCTGGTGGGCTACCGTCCATGGGGTTGCAAAGAGTTGGACACAATTGAAGCAACCTATCACGCATGTGTGAGGGCTGCAGCCTGGGAGACAGCACCTCAGATAGCTCTGAGAGACTGCTCCAAAGAGGAAGTGGGGAAAGGTCAATGTGTAAGATTTCAGTGAAGGGAGATTCAGTGCAATCAAGCACTTACTCTACAAGAGGTTTTCTACAAGTCAGGAGGAGCTGATGTCATGATGAAGGGATTTAGTGCTTTTCTAGAGATGAGGAGATGCAGGTATTCATGAAATCAGTTCCTGAAAATATCTAACTATCTAAAGACCTGTTCCACCAGTTTCCCTGGAAGGCAGAGTGCCTCAGTCTCCACCCTGGATTCCCCTCAAGGCGTGTGGAAGGTCAACAGCTACAGTAACACAGGGTTCAGTCTCCATAGAGGCAGATGGCCAATGCCCTTGACAAGTGCCAATTTGTAGTTGAGACGCTAAAGAATCCATCTGCATTGCGGGAGACCTGGGTCTGGAGGAGGGCATGGCGACCCACTCCAGTACACTTGCCTGGAGAATCCCCATGGCCAGAGGAGCCTGGCGGGCTACAGTCCATGGGGTCACAAAGCGTCGGATACGACTGAGCGACTAAGCACCCAGCACCTACTTAAAACTTTTTTTTTTACTGAAATATAGTTTTTTTTTTTCCAATATAGTACCTATATTTTCATTTTACAGATTTTTAAATTAAGTGTGGGGAAAAGTTTGTGCTCAATTAGAGATCACAATCTATGGAATCCAAAGAACTAAGGTTTGAGTCCTGATTCTATCCGAACTGTTTCTGCTTCCTGCTCTTGGGTGAGTCATTCTTCAGTTCCTTTGTTTCTGAGGCAGAGAGAGCAGTACTAGAGTTTTCAGTCAGGCCAGTGCCCCTCACCCCAGCTTTGTTCAGGCATCAACTGTGATTAATAAAACACTTTGCAGGACTTCCCTGGTGGTACGGAGTAAGACTGTACTCCCACGACAGTGGGGGGGGGGGGCTGGGTTCGATTCCTGGTTGGGGAACTAGATCCTGTATGCTGCAAGGAAAGATCCCACGTGCTGCAACTAAGACCTGGAGCAGCCAAAGAAATAAATAAAGAACAGTGCATTTTGCTTAACACGATTTTTCCAATTTTTCCATGATTATTATTTGAACATATAATACAATAAAAAATTGTTGAGATGTTCTGCAATCATTTTTTTTTCAATAAGTCTTGGCAATCTGGTGTGTTTTATACTCAGAGCACATCTCATTTTGGACTCACCACGTTTCTATAACTCAGTCGTTAAATATGGCTGGTGGCTGCTGTGTTGAACCGCCCAGGTCTGGGTCTTGAGGAACAGAATGAGGGGACACCAGCATAAAGGGTGCACATGCTGACAACGATGCACACCCACTCTGCCCTGCAATTCCATTTTTAGAGAGTTGTCTTCAATAAATCCTCATACATAGGCACCAGGATGTATGTGCTAGGATGCTCCCTGTGATATGGACAAAAACAATGGAAATCACCTAAAGTTCCACCAACAGGGAAGTTTCAAACTAACAATGGACTTACGGCACTATTAAAACAACATGAGTTGCTTAAATGTATTTACAAAAACACCATTCTGGAAAAAGTGATCAAAGCATGTTATCGGAACAATTGATGAAATGGGAATGAGGACGGCGACTTATATAAGGTGACCTATTACACATTTCCTTATTGCTTTTATACTGTCCTGACCACTTCTTGTTACATTTGAATTTGCACCAACATAAGGTGGCTTAGACGGTAAAGAATCTGCCTGCAGTGCACCTGGGTTCGATCCCTGGGTTGGGAAGAGCCGCTGGAGAAGGGAATGGCAACCCACTCCAGTCTTCTTGCTTGGAGAATTCCATGGACAGAGGAGCCTGGCTGGTTATAGACCATGGGGTCACAAAGAGTTTGACATGATTGAGTGACTAACACTTTCACTTCCAAAAGTTGTAAGAATTATGCTGAGAAGCAGTTAATAACTTCTCCAAGGGTCCAGGACATAGCAAATGTTAAGAACCTGTGATTTTAAGGCAATGCCCAGTTCAGTTCAGTTCCTCAGTTGTGTCCGACTCTTTGCGACCCTATGGACTGCAGCACGCCAGGCCTCCCTGTCTATCACCAACTCCCAGAGCTTGCTCAAACTCATGTCCATTGAGTCAGTGATGCCATCCAACCATCTCATCCTCTGTTGCCCCCTTCTCCTCCTGCCTTCAATCTTTCCCAGCATCAGGGTCTTTTCCAGAGAGTCAGTTCCTTGCATCAGGTGGCCAAAGTATTGGAGCTTCAGCTTCAGCATCAGTCCTTCCAATGAATATTCAATATTCAGGACTGAATTCCTTTAGCAATGCCCAACTGTGGTCCAAGAATCTTAATAATCAAGAGGGTATGGCCTGGCCTCCTGACTCTCCTCCAGCTCACGCGCCCTCTTAAGGTCAGAGTTGGTATAACAACCATGCATTCCTATCAGCAAAGAATCCCCTCTGCGAAGACCTTCAAAATCCTCGTTGAGTAAGTCCACCACACGTGGCTCCATCTAGCGGAACCAAACTTTGCCAAACACCCTGCACTCACACGTCTATTCCCAAACACAAGAACCACATTTATAAAAATCTAGGAGAGTACATTCCAAACTGCTAGTAGGAGTTTCAGAAGGGTGATTGTCAGGGGATTTTTCAACGCTTTATTGCGGGGGGATGGGGGGGGAGTACATTTCTGGATTGTTCAAATGTTTACATGGATCATCTCTGCTATGAAAAGAAAGTTATGTCTGCACAAATTGAAGCTTGCTGTAGAAGAATACTATTTGGGGAGGAAGGATGTGGGTGATCTATCAGAGCGTTGCAGGTGAGCGTGGGAAAAACGAATCTGTTTCTACCCTCATCGTAGTAGTCACGCTCCATTGCTATAGACTGAAAAATTGTTCCCAGGGATGTTCGCCTCCTAATTACTGAAACCTGCAGGATGACTTTATGTAGGAAAAGGGATGTGGCAGATAAACTAATGATCTTGAAATGGAAGATTATCCTGGATTATTTAGGGGGTTCTTTTTGGGAGGCTGCACTGGGTCTTTGTAGGTGGCTCAGTGGTAAAGATTCCACCTGCCAATGCAGGAGACGCAGGAGACTCAAGTTTGATCCCTGGGTCGGGAAGATCCCCTGGAGGAGGAAATGGCAATATACTCCAGTATTCTTGCCTGGTGAATCTCATGGACAGAGGAGCCTGGCGGGCTATAGTCCATGGGGTTGCAAAGAGTGGGACACGGCTGAGTGACTGAGCACCCACACACGGGTCTTCGTTGCGTTGTGTGGGCTTTCTGTAGTTGCGGTAAGGGGAGGCTATTCATTGTGGTGCTTGGTTTTCTCATTGTGGTGGTTTCTCTTGTTGTGGAGCACGGGCTCTAGGCATCTGGACTTCAGTCATTGTACCATGCCGGTTCAGTAGTTGTGACTCTCAGACTTAGTCACTCCACAGCATGTGGAATCTTCCCGGGCCGGGGATCAAACCCGTGTCCCCTGCATTGGCAGGCAGATTCTTATCCACTGCACCTCCAAGGAAGTCCCCTAGAGGGTTCTTAAATGTAATCACAGGGTGCTTATACCAGGGAGGCAGAGGGAGACTTGTGACCCCCAGTAGGAGGGAAGGAGATGTCTCTGTCCTTAGAGGCAGGTATTGGAATGATGTGGCCACAAGCCACAAGCTGGCAGTCAGTGGAACTGGAAGAGGCAGGAGCAGACTCTACTCTGGAACCTACAGAGGGAATGCAGCCCTGCTGACCTCTGGCCTCTCGAACTGTAAGAGGATACATTTCTGTTGTTTTAGGTTACTCAGTTTATGGAGCTTTATTACAGCAGCAATAAGAAGCTAACAGTTTCTTCGCCACCCCAGACTCCAGCATGTTTCACAGAACCCAGAAAGGGGCTGGGAAAGATGGTGATGGTTAGACAAGAAGATGAACAGTCCTCAAGTACTGGGCCATTTCACAGACTTGCTTTGCCTCTCTGGGTCTCAGTGGAACCCAGTTGGAAGGCTGGGGCTCACAATCAATCCCCAATTCCCAGGTTTAAGCCAATTGAACCCCTGAGCTTTTTCACTGCTAGAAGGAAAGAGAGAGCCTCTCAAATGGGGAACTCAAGGCTGAGAGAAGGGCCAGGTCTAGACAAGGTGGGGGTCTCTAATGTCTGGCTTCCTTCCTCCTGGGACCTGGAACTCCCTCCTGGCCCCTTCTGTGGAGCGGCTGGAGGAGGTGTTCAGGGTTCACTGGGTGTGTGTCTTGCGGAAGAAACCCCGAGCCCCAGACCAATGAGAACCCCAGAGGGGTAAGACGGGTCATTTCCTCTCTGGTTATCTGTGCCCTCCCTTGGGGCTTGCAAACCACAGCCCTTGGGAGCCTTTGATCAGAGGAGAATCTGGGAGAGACCTGAAGATGGTGAGTCTGGGGGGCAGTGGGGGGCAGACACCTGCTGTGTGTGGTCTCCCTTCGTGCCATCTGCCCCCCTTTTCCTTCCTCCGCCCAGTCCTTGAACTCTCCCCTTCTCCCCTCGCCGTCCTCCCCCCTCCAGGGCTGGGAAGCAGCTAAGGAGTAAGACTGTCAAGGCATCATAGGGCCCGAGATTAGCTTTGACTTTTCCTTTCTGGTAAATAATCCCAAATAGTTTGAAAATTTTGTTTCTACACGTTTTATTATTCACTCATGATTTTTTTTTTCCAGCTTGCAAAATCTTGCTTATATCTTTATTTATTTTTTTTTTATCACAACCATAGTGTATCTTTTTTTTTTTTACATGTATTCCCCATCCCGGTCCCCCCTCCCACCTCCCTCTCCACCCAATCCCTCTGGGTCTTCCCAGTGCACCAGGCCCGAGGACTTGTCTCATGCACGATTTTTTTTTTTTAATTGAAATGTTTTAATTCCTTTCTCTGCTCAGCTGATGCTGAGATCCATATTTAGTTTTATAAGGCAATTCCTGTGTTTTTTTTGGCTCATGAGTTTTTTTTTTTTTTTTTTTTTTGGTCATGGAAATGTAGGAGTGGAATATTAATACATTTCAGTTTAGTTCTGTAATGTCAGAAATTTTTTTTTAAAAAAATTAAAAGATGGACTAGAGCTTTTTCTTTGTGAATACTAATAATTAAAAAAAAAAAAAGTCCCAAATCCCTAAAGGGTATTCAGTGAAAGGATCGTCCCTGCCCAGAGACTCAGATTCTTTGTAGCTCTGGTTCCTTGTGACCAGAAACATGGGGGGTGGGATTGGGGTGCCAGTTTGTGGCTAATACTTCTGGAAACAGTCCATGACAGTGCTGGGAGTAAGGGGTATTTTTGACTTGGAGATCGTACTGAAACTGGGTTCGAATCCTCCCTGTCTTGTGTAAAAGCTGAGGAGACTCATCTTTCTGAGCCTCCTTCTCCTTATCACTAAGATAGTCACCCTAGAGAGTAAAATCTGTATTGTACGGTCATGGAGAGAGTTCAGTGAGATAATACATGGGAAACTCTTTCAGCAGTGCCCGGCACACAGCTGGCGCTCAATGCCTGTGATGTGTCTATCCTTTCTCCCCCACCTACCCTGCAAAGAGAAGTCTTTTTTACACGATATCCCTACATCTCGCTTTTTTTTCTTACATGAATAATTTATAATATCATTGACAACATTCACCTGCATGCCAGGCACTGTGCTAGGCACTTGACATTTACAAACTTCAGCTTAATCTGTGAGAAAGATACTGTTATATCCTGCTGTATTTCAGGGAAATTCCAATTTTCTTTTTATCAGCTGTGTGATATGCCAGTGAGAGTGTCCATCACTTATCAATGGAAATTTAGGCTGTTTGTCTTCAAAACCAAAATTAGAAAATCCCCTGGTGGTCCAGTGGTTAAGAGTCACTGCTTTCATTGTCATGGGCCCGGGTTTGATCCCTGGTCAGGGAGATAAGATCCCACAGGCTGGGCAGCCAAAAAAACCTCCAAAACCCCAAACACCAGAATTATATCTTTGGATTCATGTCTGGGTTTTCAGAACTTCAAATGCTGAATCTAAGACATAGACAATTTTTATTTTAACAGATATTTCCAAAACCTGTACCAATTTATATTCCTCATTTTCAGAGCAGGAGAGTATTTACTTGTCTAGAAACCCATCTGCATGGTTAGATGGAGCTATTTTTGTTTTTGCCCACCTGAAAGGTAGTTCATTGCATCCTGGAAGGATCCGGAGGTTTGTCTTTTTCACATGGCTTTTAAAATGCAAATGCCTACGTTTCTTCGTGCTCAGGGAGGTTGAGTCTCAGAGACTGTGCAGATTCAAGAAGATGAGTCGAGATGCTCACCCACTCCCTTGTATCCCAGTGTCTGAGGATGCTTTAGTGGTTTTATGTGGTTCTGCGGGTGGATTGTGTAAAGACCTTGTGTCCACGTAGACATGGGGAGAGGGATGTTCCGGGGAAAAAAGCAGACCGTGCCTTCTGGGTATTTCCTAGCCCTGACAGTATTCCTGAGTCTATTATTTCCACAGTAAAGGAGGGCACAGTTGGCAGGACGTTCCCTGCTCCGAAGATGGCAAGACTGAGGCCCCGAGAGGGAGGGAAGGGGTGCGTCGTCCCTCCTAAGTCTCCTGCCTTTCTTCCTCCTCTGGGCATCACTCCCACCTTTGCTGGCCTGAGTCCCTGCCCCAGCCTCCTCTCTGATCCTCTTGCCTTTAGTCTCACCTCCCCGCAGCAGCGAGAGGCACCTTCCTAAACAAGAACTCTCATCGGGTCCTTCTGTGGCTCAAAGACCATCTATGGCTCCCCATTACCCCAGGATAAAATACATCTCCTTTAACGTGACGTCTGCGGCCCCTCCACCTTGTCCTGGCTACCTGCCAGCCATGCGGATGTTCTTTCCCCTTCTGGTGTGTGACAGCCTCCCTGTTACCTGGTGACCCTTTGCCTTGAACGCATGCCCCTCACTCCCACCATGCCTGAGGCCTGGTAACCTCTCAGAGAAGGTTCTAGGGTTGGACTGTCTGAGGGTCTCTCCTCCCTCTGCCACTTGCTAACAGCGAGGACCTGGAAAGGTCTCTTAAGCTGTCTGTAGCCTCAGTTTTCTCATCTGCAAAATGGGTGTTGCAATGGCAAAAAAAAAAAAAAAAAAGGAAGAGCTGATACATGAAAAGGACTTAGAACTTGGTGATTCTGATTGCTTTTCTCCTAAGCATCTTCTCCTTAGCCCTGTTCTCCTCTGATCCATTCATGAGTCCTCACTGTCACCACCCTAGTGCAAACCACCATTGTCCCACACCACAGCTGGACAATCCTAATCGCCTCTTCTCAGCTTCTGATCTGGCCCTTTCTCCACGCAGTAGGCAAGGGCTCTTAAAATGAGCCTGTGATCTTAGGAAAAAAGGAGTACCCCCCTTTGGGCTTGTTGTAGCATAAACAGTGCGGTTAGAGAATTAAGGAACCTAGGAAGCACTTGGGAATCGCCTAGGATCCCCAGACCACTGGTGTCTGAGAGGCAGCCACCAGCCACACGTGTCTGGTGAAACTTAATTAAAATGACAGCAAATTATAAGTTCAGTTCCCAGACACACCTGCCACATGTCATGGACTCCACGGCCATAGGTGACTGGCGGCTACCATCCTGGATGGCACGCCTCTGGGACATTCCCATCAGGGCAGAAATTTCATCTGGACCGAATTACGATTTTTTTTTTGCTCTTTTTCATTGCTACTTAGTTCTTTGCTGTTGCTTAGTGGCTAAGTTGTCTCCAACTTTTTTTTTTGCGACCCCATGGACTGCAGCCCTCCAGGCTCCTCCGTCCATAGGATTTCCCAGGCAAGGATACTGGAGTGGGTCACACGGTGTAGTGGCTTGATTTTTCCAACACCCTTCTCGTGATCCCCCACCAGGCTGGATTCTCTGTAGAACATGCTCAGTTCCCATCCCTGGTGATTAATTTTCTTCTCGCAGGAGACCATAACCTCTCCAAGGACAGGTGCCAGGTATGTCAGGAGCCAATCTCTAGTCTGTTAACATTTATGCGATGAAGAAATATGCTTAGACTCTTTCCTGGACTCCTAGAATGGTACTCGAGTTTGTGCTCAGTCGCCAAGTTGTGTTTCACTCTTTGAGACCCCGTGGACTGTACCCCGCCAGGCTCCTCTGTCCGTGGGATACCCCAGGCAAGAATACTGGAGTGGGTTACCATTTCCTTCTCCAGGGGATCTTTCTGACCCAGGGAGCAAACATGCATCTTCAGCTTGGCAGGTGGATTCTTTACCACTGAGCCACCTGGGAAGCCCCTTCTAGAATGGTAGAACCACAGATTCTTTTGTAGAGGCTATGTAATATCCATTTCTGGGGAGAGGGGAATGGGTGGTGTATTCACTGATATGGCTCTACATACCAGAAGAACAAAAGCATATATGGTGAGGGACTTCCCTGGCAGTCCAGTGGTTAAGATTCTGTGCTTCCAATGCAGCAGATGCAGGTTCGATGACCAGTCGGGGAGCTAGGATCCCACATGCCTCTTAGCAGGGGCCAACCCTGCTCCCCTTCCCCCCAAAAAAGTATACCAACCTCCTGCTTCCCTTCCCCTGGGGCAACCAGTGTTCCAGATTTCCTCTGCCTGCTTCTGGAGCTAGTCTGTACAGACACTCAGGAAAGAGAGAGAGACAGAGGGGAAGTGGTGAGGAGGGGAGAGGGGGTTGGTGGAGAGAGAAAAACAGAGAGGAAGAATGACTCCTCTTTGGTAGGTAGTGTTACTTCACACACTGTTCTTACTTGTTCTATTTCACCCTAGATCTTGGAGTTCTTTCCACACTCACCCTTAGGTAAACTTCCTCATTCTTTTGCTGGTTGCATAGGATTATTTTGCCTGCATGTGTCATTGTTATTGGGCCACTGGCCTGGACGCTTCAGCTGTTTCCCTTCTTTGTAGAGATACTGCCATGGCTAAACTTTGCAAGTCATTTACATAGGGAGGATCCTAGAAACCACAGAGCATTAGAATCAGCATCTTTTTCCTGCCCTCGTGAAGTCAGTGATAGGGAAGGGCTGCATGAACTCATCCCAGGCGAGGATGTTAGTCAGCTGATGTGAGCATGGGAGCGGGCCAGGGGGAGGCATCCCGTTCTGGGGTCTGGGTTATTCTGCAGCATAGTCCAGAGCTTGTGAAACGAGCAGAGATCGAAGTTAGCTTCGTGTTATCATGTCCGAGGTGGACACTTAAAACATTTAATCACCTGCTATAGTGTAGGGTCCCCCTGGGCAGGATCTGGGGCCTCTTGTCATGCCCAGCACTGACCCTTCAGTGGTCTGAGCTTGGGGGTCCCAGAGTAGAAAAAGAGAGGTCAGGGTGCTGGGGGTGAAGATGGTCAGGTGGATGGCTCAGAGCAGAGTCTCCTTATCAGTGGAAATAAAGCAACCATTTTAGCTTTTTGGAAACC